AAAAAAAAAAAAAAAAAAAGAAGAACAAGCGGGGCAGGGTGAAGACGGCTTGTACCACACTGACCTATTTGATAGTACATGCTGTGCTTCCTCATGCCTCACCTGAGACAGAGACACCATCACCAGCGCTGGTGAAAACCTGGGGTTGGGGCCACAGACGCGGACTCTGATGAGTCTCCCAGCTCCTCAGACACATCAGAGGAGGAGGAGGGCCCTAATCGAGTGCAGTGCATGCCATCTTGAAGCCTCATCCCTAGGTGGGGTGGGCTGGGGCTGCCAACCTGATCCTGCCTGGGCAACCCTTTCCTGTCCCAGGCACTACATTCAGCAGAAACACACTTTGGACTTTTTGCTTTAGATAAAAGAAAGACATCCCAGGAGAAAGGACAAACCAGAGGAGTGAACCAACACAGAGTACCTAGGAATGGGAGGGGAGCCCTGGAATGGGCCTCCATGGAGAGGTGCATAGGCCTCAGCAGAAATGGCCTCTCCCCAAAGCCTCTTTTTGAGAGAGGGAAGGCTATTTTGTTAACTTGTTTGGGATACGGAATGGGGTTTCTTTTTCTTTAATCTCCCTTGTTTCTTGGGCAGAGAGGGCGGGGGGAAGCTACTCAGTACCAAAGGGCGAGTGGCAGGTAAGAGTGCCACTCTCTCTTTGGTTTAGGTTTTTGACCTATTCTTCCTTTGTTTTTCAAAAGTCTATGACAGTTGGGTATTTTTCTCCCCTCAGCAACCCCATCCCAGGATCCTGTTTTTCTGGGAAGTCCTTAAAGCCCCTAACCACCCCACACTCTTCACTTCCCCTCCTCCTCATGCATTCTCTGTACATATCACAGTGTTCTGCACTTGATGACATATCCTTCACTCTCTTCTGTTCATCCCAACACCCCTTAAATAGGTCAGGTGAGGGAGGCTGGGGAGAGGTGGGAGGAGGGGCAGAAGTGAAGGAGGGATAGGAAGGATGCTACCTCTTCTGTTATCTTTTAAAAACAACATGGTTTGGTGGCAGCAATCTCCCTGTCCCTATCACTGTTAGAGGCCTAATTTTCTATCTATATTAGAAAGCAAGTCAAACTTGGATGTATCAAGGCAAAATTACTGTCCAAGTTTAAATACCTATATATTCTCTATGAATGCAATAAAGGGACTTAAAGGGAAAAAAAAAAAAAGGTTTTGTTGCTGCACAATAGCCAAAAAAAAAAAAAGACAGTCAACCTTAACTTTTCCTTAAATAACAATGAATTCAACATGAACTATGATGCAAGTTCCTTCACACTGGTCTGAACTTCTCCACTAAAATAAGGCAGGTGGAATAATCCCGACAATAAATATCAACCAAAAAGGTTTTGACCTACACAAGCATGGTCTTTGTATACGGCCTGCTGGTACACTCTTTCACCACTAGGGGACGTTCCAACATTAGTAAGGAAAAAAGGCTGAGTTACAATAAGCCTTAATAAATAGAACTGTTACAGTTATCCGAAGTGATCAAGAATGATTAAAGATGAGAAATGGTCTCAAAGAACTAAAAATAGAACTACTATTCGACCCAGCAATCCCATTACTAGGTATATATCCAAAGGAAAACAAATCATTCTACAAAAAAGACACATGTACTCAAATGCTCATCACAACACTATTCACAGAGGCAAAGACATGGAATCAACCTAGGTGTCCATCAATGGTGGACTGCATAAAGAAAATGTGGCACATATACACTATGGAATACTATGCAGCTATAAAAAGTAATGAAATCATGTCTTTTGCAGCAACATGGATGCAGCTGGTGGCCATTATCTTAAGCATTCAAATTAATGGAGAAACAGAAAACCAAATACTACATGTTCTCACTTATAAGTGGGAGCTAAACACTGGACATATATGGACATAAAGATGGGGAGCAGTGGACACTGGGGACGACTAGACGAGGGAAGGAAGGAGTGGGGTGAGGGGCCCTATTGGGTACTATGCTCACTACCTGGTTGATGGGATCAATCATACCCTAAACCTTAGCATCACGCAATATGATCCATGTAACAAACCTGCATAGTTATTCCCTGAATCTGAAAGTTGAAATTTTAATGAGAAACTATGTAAGATATTTTAGTACCAGTGGACATTGTGACAGGGAAAGGAGGAACTGCCTTTTTAAAAGATGCCCTGCATTCACGTGTCTCAACAAAAAATTAAGATATGCAATAAAACACAAAACAAATGATAGTGGGGAGGAGAGAGGCAGGCATAGTAATGCTCCCTTTACATTCTAGTCTGAAACTAGAATTTAGGAATCTTACAAAGTTGTGAAGCAGGGGAGATAACAGTAACAAACAGCACATGAACCTATTGGAGAACAAGAGTATGTATTTAAAGTATAAAATTATGTGGTAAGACATTATTTGCCCATTAAACTGGCAGAAAAAAAAACGGCAAGGAACAATCTTATATATTGGTCTTAGGAGTCAATCTGTACTACCTGTTTAAAAAATCAATTGACAAGATTTTTAAATTTCATCTACAGCCACACTACCCTAAACATGCCCATCTCTTCTGATCTCAGAAGATATTTAAATTTAAAACACATACACTTTGATCCAACAATCCCTGTTTTTTAAATCTATGACAAATGTTTTATATATATATATAAGAACATAGGTACAAAACATGTATACTACAGCACTGTTTGCAAGAGAGGGGGGAAAAAAAAAAACCTGGAACCTACCTGAATGTCCATCAATAGAAGAATAGATGAATGAGTTAAAGCTATGTGTAGAGACCAAGATCTACAGAATACATAAAGACAGGAAAAAGGGAATATGTCGAATACACTATTTTTGTAGCAACCAAGTAACTTGTGGATACGTGTTTTTAAAAGAGCAAAGAGAAAGGTATGAGATACACACCAAACAACATCATCTGGTACTGCAAGGCAGAGGCTACCATTAAGAGTTTCTTCAAATTCCTCTGCATCTTTAGACTTACAAAGTAGAGTATAAAAGTTTTGTGCTTTGTTTCCTTTGGGGGTGATAGTGGGTATTTAAAAGTAAAAACACCTCATTAGAATAAAAGAGTTTTTTTGGGTTTAAGAGATGGGGTCTCACTCTGTCGCCCAAGCTGGAAGACAGTGGCACCATCGCAGCTGACCACAACCTCCACTCCTGAGCTCAAAGGATGCTCCCTTGAGCAGGAAGGGACTACAGGTCTGAGCCACCACACCGGACTAATTCTCCCATTCCCCACTTAAAGATGAGGTCTTTTCATCTTGCCCAGGCTGGTCTCGAACAACTGGGCTCAAGGGAGCCTCCCACCTTGGCCTCCCAAGAAGCTGAAAATAAGAGTGTTTTAAAATAAGCAAAAAAGAAATTGTGTGGCATGGGCATCCAATATAATAGGAATTGACAAATCAAGAGTTTCAATAACAGCTTGTATAAACAAACCAAACGGATAAATGAGCCTAATTTCCCCAAACTAAAAATTATACTTTTAAGTTTAGAGGTAAGGTAAAGGTTTTCGCTGAGTGATATGTAAATGAATGTCTTCCATTATCATGCAAATTAATGACTTCATTTTAAACTGTAATGCTATCAACTGACATTTCAGTCATCGATTTAAAGATGGTCTCTGAAATTTAAACATTCGTGAATTCTCCTTTTACCACAGCTAAAATCAAAATGTAGCTTAGATGAAGCCTTACAGTTGCTGTCAGCAAGTGACTGCTGTGATGCAGTACTCACTGCACGCACATGCTTAAAATTGGACTCACTGCTCATACTATGGCCATTTCAGCTAAGTAATGGCTGCTGGTAAGACTATGATGAGTTTAAATTACAGATTGAAGTATTCAAAAAGATTACACTGTAGTTGCATAATAAAACAAAAAGTAACATTTTGCATAGAAAGATACTGAAACAGAGCAGTGCAGTGGAGAGGAAAAGGGAGGATGAGAAAAAGGGGAGGTGGTACAGAACTAGAGAAGAGTAGAGAACAAAAAAAGAAGGGAAGAGAATTTCCCAGAAGTTATACTTCCAAGTCTTCGGTATGTTAAGGAGATACACGTAAACCTCAAAAATGTTTGTTTTTTCTTATTAATAGCAAACCTACAAATTATTTTTTTCATTACTTCTGTATGGTTCGCTTCAGAATTACTGTACAATTTGAAACAGAGCAAAATTAGTTTTACTCATGATCTACACTATGGAATGATTCATATTTCACTCTTCTAGATTATGATTTGAAACTAACCACAAAGCAGCACAAACTCACTAGGAAAGTATTCTGTACCAAAAAGTACAATCTTGCAAATCAGTAACCGTAACTCATAGGTACTTGGGTCAACTTGAAGTTACATGAATTTGGGTTTTTCTATTTTACTCCTTTGTATAATCTGAAACCTACCCATGCCGACTCAGCAAGGACAATACAAAGCCCATGACATCTACATTCAACAAATATTTCAAAAATACAGTCATACAAGTTGCTACTAAAGAAGTTAATCACCGGCTACTTCCCTGGCCCTTTCCCCCAGGACCATGGAACCTCGTCTGGGAACTAAATAAATTGGCATTTAATCTTATTAAAAAAAAAAAAAAAAAAAAAAAAAAAAAAAAGAAGGTAATCGCCTTATTCATGGTACAACCTTCACAGAAATGTTAACTTTCAAACCTCCTATGATCATCCTGTAAGCCACTATCCAAGATTAAAAAATAATAAAGAAAAAATAAACACGCACACAGACAAAACACAATCAATGTATTTAGTTAGGTGCTATAAGAACCACAATAGTAACTGACATCTGTACCGATATTTAGTTTAAAAAACACTTTTACAGGCATTATCTACTCTACTTACCAGTTTTCCTGGTTTTCCTGCCTTTCAAAACCAGGAAAAAATAATTTCCACTTAACCAAGAATAGCATTTTTCATTTTCCCCAGAAAGTCAAGCATGGGGTGACTTTACATCAAAAAGCCTTGTCAACAAATGAAGGAATGACATCTTTCCAGGGACAAAATTTATTTAAAAACCAGCTCTTGCTCCAAACATACTTGAAATACATTTTTCATAAGGAAAACAGTGTGTAGGTTCCTAAGATAGCCCACAAATGCCCATTTTGCCTCCTACAACTCTCCTGAGCTGCAGTTCACATTACACTAGCCTGGGTTGCTGGGCAGGTAGCCAGTTACCAAGCCTCCATTTCCTCTGCCCACTTCTTAATTATTAATATTCCTCGGGCTCTTCTCTTTGTAACAATCTCATCAAGGGTGGCACTACTGGACCATCTATGATGGCAACTACCAAGTCACATTTTCAGCACTGATCTCTCATGTGCTTCAGACCCACAGATTCAACTACATGTTTGCAGACAGCTAAACTTCAATATGCTCATTTTATCTTTCTTCCAAAAAATCTGTGCCCCCACCCAGCCACCACTAATTCCCCCTACTCCTTTAATGAGTAAGATTTGCCTAAAAAGCCATGCCAGGAATTTAGAAATCACCCTTCAACTTTTCCTATCCCACACTTTCTATATCCAACTGGCCACTAATCTTATCACTGCTACCCATCTAGAATCCACTTCACCATGCCTATCTCCACTGGCTTTGCCTTGATTTAGGTCCTGAGCCCTAGTCTCCCTCATTCAAGTCTGTATGCAACCAGATACAATCATTTCTCTCTCTGCCTAAAATTTCAGTAGCTTCCTATTGTCTGCAGTAGCAATTCCCAAACTGGTAAAAGAGTACCTTCAAAGTAAATTATTTTTTCAAAAAAATTAAGTTGAACAGGTTAAACAATATTAAACAGGCCTCTCACTAGCAAGGTTTTGAAGTCTTGCAACGCACAACATTATGTATTTCCCTGCCATGAGGAACTGGGGTGGAAGGGAGCCCCAACTGGGTTTCAAGGTCAAAGTCAAAACTTATTGCAAGACATGTAAGATCCTACAGACTCTGGCCCTGTCTAGTTGTCAACACCATCTGCCATTCATCAATGGTTATCTTTCACCCTTTACAAACCTTACAAGTCATTCATTTAGAACAACACAATCTGCAGTTCTTCAGAGAGCCCTACTGCTTCCTGACTCCACTTCTTTATATAGAATATTCCTTCTGCCAAGAATGCCCTTCTCTAACTTAGTCTGGCTGAAGAGCTCCTACTTGCTCTTCCAGGGCCAGCTCAGCCTACTAAGCTTTGTTTGTCCCTTGCACCTCCTAGCAGAGGACTGCCCCCACCCTTCTCCCAACTGCAGGTATCAGAGCACTTGTCCAACAGTATGTTGAACTGACAGACTAAAAACCTCAAAGGCTGGGAACCACGCAAGCATCCAGCAGTACAGCTGAATAAAGGAGACAGGGCAAGACTGGGTGAAGAGGGGGAGGAATCCCTCTTCTTTTTCTGGGCAAAATTTTACAACGAAGTAATTTTGTCTTAGACATGCTCCCGCATCTCATCCCTATTCCCCTTTCCTGGCTTTCCCAAAATCCTGTCTTCCCAGGTCCCTTAGTGACCTCACGTAATTTTGCACAACCTCCACCACAGCACTATGTTCTTCAGATCAGTGCTTCCTCTTCCTCTTAACCAAGAGTCCTTCTGTTCAGAAGTTAACATATAAATTAGTGACAGCTTCTCATA